CTCGGCCCCTCCTCGCGGCGCTTTTTCCGCCCAGCTCCCCCAGACCCCCCCAGTTCAAGCCCATGGGCAACTGCGCGTGAGGCGCGCCGCGGCGGGACCGCCCTGGGCCGACCCCCGGCTGGGACCCAGGGAGTATTTTCGTGGTCTCGGGATCTCAAGACTGCCCACGCCGCGCATGCCAGGACTAGGAGATTCCGATGCCGCCTGAAAGCCTGGACTGTCGCGCGTGCCCCTTGCCTTCTTCTGCGCGGGACACGGTGCGTCTAAGATAAAGGGTCAGGCAGTAGTTTCTCCCTGTAAGAGAGAAGTGCCCGGGGCCAAGCCGGGAGCCTGGCAACTCTAGTATTAAGGAATAACCTTGTGCCTTGGAAATGCAAACTCACTGCTCTGATTCCTACCAAGTAGGGGGAGCAAATATGTGCCTTGTCATTTTATTTAGAGGGTTCCCTGCCTTCGTCCCAAGGCTGCAAGGCTGCAGCAGGCCCCCATGTGAGAGGAGGGGTGCAGGCTTCCGGCTGGAGGAAGGTTCAGGGAGCAGAGATCCTGTAAGCCAGTCCCAGCTGCTCCTCAGCTCCTTGTCCTTGGAGAGGAGGAAACAGGGATGTGGGCTTTGTGAACCTAAGGCAGTTCCCCTAGTTCTACATGAAGGTGGAGGGTCCCTAGTTCCTTGTCTCTAACCCCCCAGCCTACAACAGACTGGGCTTCCAGGGCAGAGCTCCCTGAATGGGAGTCACCACGTGACCAGTGGGAGACCTCACCCCCAGTCAGACCAGAAAGCTAGGTGTGGATTAGCTATAAGGACATATGTACATGGGAGTGGTGGCCTGGTGGAAGAGGGGAGCCTACAGGTCTGGTCTGGGGGTTGGGAGAGGGGTGAAGGGACTCCAGGGCCATCAACCATGTCTGTACTGTATGTTGCCAGCGTTGCCATACAAACACGAAGCACAGTCAGCCCGTCCCGGAGGGACCCAAGTTATGAGAAGATTTCCAAATATTTTGCTTTATCAGCCGATATCAACATTTGTATCTGGCCTCTCTGTGTCCCAGTGGTGCCTTGTGCAATGTGAATGTGCATGTCTATGCTAAACCACCATTTTCTTTGGTTTTTGTTTTGTTTTGGTTTTGCTCAGATACTTGCCAAAATGAGACTCTTCGTCAGCAGCTGCAGGGAGGGTCTGCGGCTCTCTTTCCTTTTGGTTTTGGGATTGCTTTTGCTCCCGGAGGAACCAAAGAGGCAAGATGGGCTTCCCCTTTCCCCTCAGCTTTCCCTGGGGGGTGGCTGTGGACCTTGGTCCCCTCTGGCCCCAAGCTGCCCACAGGCTTGTCCCCCACAGAGGCCTGGCTCCGGGTCTGGAAGGGAGGCGGCCTCCAGCCAGCACACACAGATCGCTGGGCTTGGGAGCAGAGAAGGACAGCTTGGTTCTCTTCTTTGGAGGAGAACGTAGAGTTTCATGCTAGATGTTTTATGTATTATATCTATAATATAAACATATCAAAGTAAATGTTGGTGTTTTTTTAAAACCAGAAAAGCTACTTCCACGGTTTTCTGTGAGCCAGGTCACATTTGTAAATAATCACAGCATATGTTCTGGCTGAGATCCTGACTTCCATTCACTCTGTACCCATGCTGAGCCCCTCTGTACATTAAAGGGGTGACTTCTCCCAACCAAGACAAATAAATGGCAGAAAGAGGACAAGGCTCCAAGCTAAGCATGCCAAAGCCTGAAGAGCATCTCCTGGTCGGAGACTGTTTTGGGGGGGCAGGGGGCTCATGGGACCTTGGTGTGGCCTCTCATGGCCCTTTGGGAGAAGAGAGATTCGGAGAGGGAGCCCCCTGCCTGAAGTTGCCGCAGCCTCTTTGGAACTCGGGCAGGCCTTGTGCAGCAGCTTCAGGCTCCAGGGGCCCTTCGGCCACACTCACTTCCAAACACTCACAGTTCCAGCTCTGGAGCAGCCTCGCCCACACCTGCCTTTGCCACAGCAGGACCCTGGGTGGGCAGGGAGAGGCCTCAAGCTGTAGGACCCTCACCCCTTCCCCCTTGCTCTGGGCCACGTGGCTGCAGCCTACTCCGGCAGGGCCCTGAAAGGCAGCCCTAAGACTGAGTTCCCCTCCACCAGCCTTGCACACCTTCCCTGCCCAGCTCAGCCCACCCAGAAACAAAGGGCCCACGGCAGGCCTGCCGTTGGGTGTCTGGTCCTTCCCCACGCACCACCCAGCGAGGAACCAGCCCAACATCCATGCTGCCCACTGTGTCCACCCTGCATCAAGCCCCCCACCTGGACAACTGCCCTAGGAGGACAGGCACCCCGACACCCTCGTAGCAGCAGTGATAGCCACCAGGGAGGGTGCACCTCCATGCCTGGAAGAGCAAGGCCTGAGAGGAAGGACCCCAGGAGGCTAGCAGGCTTTCAGAGTTGAGTCTTTCTGAGGGCAAAAGGCAAAACACTTTTTACGTTCTGTTTCCCATCCTCCCCCAGAGAGTTCACTTGAGCAGCTGATGGTATATGCCATGTGGGCTGCCACAGTTTCAAGAAATTACACATTCTTCTTAAACTCTGAAGGCTTTGGGTTTACCTGACTGCTTAATGAGGTGACCTACCCCCTTCCCGCTCCCGCTTTCTGTCTTGTGTCTTGCCGCCTCCTCACCCATGGCCGCCCTTGGCAGAGGAAAGGCCATGAGCCCATGGAGGAGGCGGTGGCCTGCCCTGCTGCCTGGGAACCAAGGAGGCAGAGCCCCACCGCCTGCCTAGAGGCCTGGGGCAGGCCACAGCTTGCTAGGCCCCAGCAAACCCTCTCTGAGTTCAGTGCTAATTCCAGTTTTTCTTGTTTGAGGGGGCCAAGCCTTGGCTTCCCCCTTTGCCCCCAGAACAGATCCCAGGATGAGTGGGGGAGGGGCACCCCTCCTACCCTCACTCCTCCCCCTCCCCTCCCATAGTCCCATCTCCAGGGATTTCCTCTTTCAAAGCTGTCAGCTCCTAAAAGGGCACTCGTCCTACTGCAGATCTTTAGGGCCAGGGCAGGCTTTGTTGGG